AATTAAAGCAAGCTACAAATGCAAGAATGACCACGTTTGCTGGCCGTGACTATTACAGTCAGAGCATGAGTAGTCTTTGTATTCAAGTTAACAGACTGGGAACTACTAAACAAATGAGTTCCTCCCCGTACTGAGTCTCATGTCACTCCTAATTAGCCGGGATGCAGTGACAGGAAAACTCACAGAGCCAACTCTGGCTACAAAGTTGTGCCCAAGCTAAGATGACCTCCTAAAGCCAGGAATGCTGTTAAATATTATTGAGAAATACCAGGTAAGCAGGTTTCTGTGGAGCTGGCATCAGCCATGGCTCACAACCTCAGACACACCAAAGCTGACTGCATGCAGCCAGGCACATGTACTGTACCTCCCTCGGCATCCCACAGAGCTCCCTCACACCCCACGTCAGGTACACTGCACATTCACCGTCCCGGCACGTGAAGGGTTAGTCCTACTCACACGATCTCATGCATCTCTATTCCTTTACTTTCATTCCATTTTCCTATTTTCTTTTCTATGCTGCTTTTTCTTATCATTTTTTTCCCCAGTATAATTTTCCCATAGTATTAATGCACAAGCAATACTGCTTTTTGCTGAAAAGTCATTGCTGTTAAATATTGAGAAAAATGCTGAAAATGCTTGCGAGGTTTGGTACCCTTCCATCATTTCTGCACTAACTCAGAGCCTGGGAAGTAACACTATCAATCTTGTCAGCAGGTCAGCACATCTAACTGCCACTTATCTCATGCTTTTAAAACTTATCAAATATTAATGTTGAACTTATTGAGGTTTTCTACCAATAATAAAAAAACCAAAACACGTCAGAGCTTATATTAGTAATTTTTGCATTCACCATTTCAAAATCTTTAACAAAACAAATATGATGTTTGATTTAAACGGAATCAAGAAACAACTGAACTACAGTGCCAATACTGACTATAGTAATGCTCCTGCATAATACTGTTAATTGCGCTAATTTAATAATTTCAAAGCCCATCCTCTGTGGGATTTTGCCTAATGGGGTTTACGGGCAGCTTTTGTCCATCTGTTCTTCCATTGCCCTTGTTGCAATACTTTCTCCTTTTCTTCATCCTCAATATGAAGTTTAACCTCCCTGCTTTTCCCTTTATTTCTTTATTCCTACTTTTTCTGGGTCTTCCTCTCAATGTAAAATCACTTCTTATCAGCGTGCAGTCCATCTATATTATCAATTTCCTGCCACCTTACACCCAGATACCATCAAACTATGCACCCTCTCCATTTTCAAATGAAGAAGTGTGATTTCACTTACCTTTCAATACGGAACGTACATTGTTTTGTCCCCTCCTCCAGTGTACACGTTAAAGATTTTTCACTTTGACTGGTGCAATGTGAGAAAGATTCTCTTACCTCTTTCAAGAAAATAGCTAAATTTTGGGAGAGGCGTACGTATCTTCCACAAAGCTAAAGGATTTACTTTTTCTTATATCCGTTTACATATAGACACAATGAAACAAGCTGACTTGGCTATTAAAGTGAAACTAAGAATTGGCATTTCCATTATAAGCTGATCCTTTTAATAGTTTAGAATTAGGTTGGGTTTCTGTTGTTTTCAGTGCAAATAATTCTTTATGAAAAAGTTCCTTGGAAAATATCCTCTACTCCCTTTCCTTGACATATGTATACAAGCATGATCAGCATCACCAAAAAAAGTCCACTTTTTTTGCTTCCAAATTTATGATACACAAATATGTGTACAGATTAACAACTTTACACAACATGCATTGCTATGCTGAAAAGTATAAAAAATTCAAAATTGGAAATAGAAAGAAGGCTTCCCAAAAGTAATTCAATCTAGTTCCTCGCAGGTTTTGAAACATACTTAATTATCAAAGCAAATTCTGATGGATGTTAATGTTACTGTGAATACCGTTACTGACTATGTTTCAGAGAGCTCTTTTTCTAGATAAATATAACAGTCCTTCCCAATTCCAGAACTGGCTTGAGAAGAGAGGAAATAAAGAAGTTGTAGGATACTTCTTGTATGTTATGCGATTTTTGACTAATTTTTAGATTAATTTTCAAGTGGAAGGACACTACTACCCTGGAAGCCCACTGAAGAAACTAGAACTGACTCACATTTAATTGGTATCCAAGAAAATAGAATATTTCTCCTTGATTCTCCCTATTAAAAACAAAGGCATGTATCCAGGTTTCTTCCTCGTTACAAAACACGGGATCTGTGGAATGAGTTGACTGAACAGAGCAGGCCGACATCCAGTGCTACTTACCATGTCTCAAGAAAGCTTCCTAGTGCAACTCCCAGTCCTGTCAGGAAAGGGACTTTTATTAGCAGCTCTGTTGAAGTCAACAGGTTTTTGTCTTCGGGAAGCTGTAAGAATATCAGCTGGCAAATTGCCCCTTCCCTCCAAACTGCTAAGGAAATTCAGGTCATACGATTGGATGGGATCAACTGCAATAGCAAGCAACCTCTCTATATACAGCTAGTTCAGGAAGATCTACAGGACATCAGTTTCCCCACACAATTACCCTTCCAAACATTGGAGAACCCTATATCAAGCTGAAGGCCTGCAGTACAGGATTAAAAAAGAATCAGATGAAATCAAGCATTACGAATTTCCCACCTCCTTACACAGGAACTTGTTAAATAAAACTTTAGAGGACAATAATCAGTGGGCCATACCCCACAATACAGAAAAGGGCTAAAAAAAAAAAAAAAAAAAAAAATCAGACCCAGCAGTCCTTTCCAATTTTCTGTTCTCTATGTCACCTTCCTTACATGTTTCCGATATTGGCAGTATGCTGTTCGTTCAGCTGAGCAATGCATGATTTTCCAGCATCTCCCAATTTTGGCAAGGTGATTGCTCTGCACAAATACAGACACAGCCCCTGCATCTCACAGCTTCACTGCCGTGCTTGGTAACATGAAAAAGCTGCCTAACTTTAGAAAGATCACAAGGGCGTGGAGTTTCCCAGCTTACGTGGAATCATCTTGAAAAGCCAAGCAAGTGGAAGGTTCTCCTGTCAGCAACTCGAGCAACATCTAGTCACAACATTTTTTCTATAGCTGAATTCTGGTCCTTAAAATGCCTCCTCTATGAAGGATCTGAATTCCCTCCCAGCACTAAACACATGTTTAGTCTTTGAATGAAGGGATGGACCTCTACTCAGAACAGCACTTCCCCTCTTCCCTGGAAATCTGGCAGATGTAGCAGCAGATTGTCCTAAGAAATGGGGAAGAGAGAAAATGACAAACCTACATTACTCTGCAGTCTTTCCTCCTTCAAGAGGAACCACTGCCTTCTAGATGGTATTTAGCTGGACCTTGCTTTGTTTAAAGAAAGTCTAAAAGAGAATGATAATAGGCATACTGCTTGGCCCTAAGGCTCTGTCACGTTTTTTTAAAGGAAAGGGAAGGAAGAGAGGAACTCTTCTCCCTTGTTTAAGCTAGTTAAGGCAAAGTCAGTGGAGACAGCAGAGACAACAATAGTAGACATCGTACTGTGGGTCGTCTTTGGGTTGTAATTTTGGCAATTCCCGATCGAGTTCAGGCTGCCTATTTGGAAAGGTGAGATGCATCTTGTAAAACCTTTCACTTGAAGGTCACTAAGAAGATGCAGTCCATTACAAAAGGAATCATGCAGTTTTTCTGCAGCAGCTGATTTACCTCTTCAAAAGCACCAGTGCCACATTAATTGAAGGCTCTTGTTGAGGGTATTATCCAGATTCAAGAACAGTGGACAGAGAGAAATAGCTATACCCTGGGATCAGAGACTTTTCCAAAACTGGGGCAGAGCAACTTGACCTAGAACCTAGAAAAACAACAGATTTACTACAAGCTGGAGGAGCTCCTCTTTGTTTTTAAGATCTATGTAAATTAGAAAAGCTATAGTGCAATCATATAGTCTGTTATTGTAATTGCAAAGCTAGTCAAGGGCTTTGGAGATAACAATAGCATTAGGGCACACAATCAAATAGTGAAATGGAATGAAAGATAGAAAATGCAGATTATTAGAAAACACAGTAATTGTCAAACTTCAGAACACAAAAGCCATAGCAAGGGGTTAGGAAAATTGCACCAGAAACCTCGGTGATAAGTTTTAAAGTTAAAAGCATTTAGTTTTGCACTTAGTGTGCCAGCATCCACTGTTTGCCATAGTATCCATACTTTTTGTTTTAATGGTAGAGAACGAAAGATGGTTGGAAATTTTGGACCACTGTCTGAATATTTCTAGTTGAACTCACAAACATGTTTGTATTTAAGATTTAGATACTACTGAAGCGTGATAGTTTCTTACATTGTACTCACTTTGTTATGAGTCTGTACAACTGAAAGAAATAACAGGTCAAGTAAAATATGCAATAATACTTAAAACAGATGTTGATGTAGATTCCAGTGGAAAGAAAATATTTGTTTCGATGTATGCGCTTTCTTAGAGCTTACTTTTCTTATATTGTGCAACTACTGTATTTAAAAGCAGAGACTATTAAGAATGAATTTGTTTAAAAAACAATAAGAAGTGGTTCTGTGAAAGCCTGTCGAAGAACTGAATGTCCTGGCTTTTAAAAATTTCTGCTGCTTCACAGGACACAAAAAATCACCAACTATATGGGGGAGAGAAGGGGAGACTATCCAACCTTTTATCTCACTCTCAATATAAATTTCACTGTATTGATGCAGTCCAAATTATATAAACTGTTGAGCCAATTCTGTACTATTTCAACAGGAAAAGAACACTCTTCAACCTTTGAAATATTATATATCAAAACATTAATTGGGCTCGGTGCTTCAAAAACAAAGTCAGAGGGTTGGGAAAAATTGTTAGCTGCTTTTAAAGCTTTTAATTTCAGCTCTTATATTTATTTTCCTACTGATACAATGTGATCAAGAAGCTATTGTGCCCAGGAGAAATGAATCCTGTAGTCACAGGGCTGAAACAAACTGCTATTTTATAAGGTTCAAGATCAGGAGTATGATTTCTATTCCAGGTTAACAAACTTACATGATTTTCTGTTGGAAATCTTCAGTGGCTGAATCTGCACTTCTGGTCGTCTTAGTGCAAATCTCCTATAAAATGGGAGGTGGTAGGGGTAAGACACAATCTCCTTAGTTTTCACTGCAAGTTTGGGATGAATAACACTTAACATCATGAGACTATTGCAAAATATGCAGGAGATTTTATAAGAAATTAACTTAAAACAATGCAATCTATTCACAGTCTCAAAAATTAAACCCTCAGCCTCAAATTTTTGTAAGCTCTCCAAAACCTGCTGCAGTTCTTATTCCTGCATAGTACATCAGTGTGAATACAGATACTGATGTGCTATTTTCCATATGTTTTTTCTTTCAATCTGGATCAGTGTTATCCTATCAGTTTTTGCCATTATTAATTCTAGCCAGACAAACAAGGAAATCCAAAGTATTTCAGCAACAGGTTTCCAAGTTCAGCTGTCTTGCTGCAAATGCAGGTTTATCATACCCATGTAATCTACGAGCATTACATATGACAACTATGCTAACTTAACAACTCGGCAAATAAGTGTCTTCTCTTGCTACAGAAAATAATGAAACTATGCTTCTCAGTAGCTCACCTTTCCTGGAAATGCTTTGAAGGGATCAAGCCTGCTCTGGGATTGGCATCACCTTCATGTTTGGCCTGCCACCAGGTTGCATCATCCTGGCTCATGATCTGAAGGATATCTCCTTTTCTGAAAGCAAGTCCAGCTTCTTTACAAGGAATTGCTTTATCCTCATTAGGATCATAGTCAAATAGGGCTCTGATAAACATCTGAAACAAATGGTGTTTTATCTTTAGAATCAGAATATTAAATGTAAGCCAAAGGTATCTCCCTTTTTTTGCTTTTACTGTTCAAAACCATTGAACTAAATAATGTAAAGCGATAAACATTTACTGCTGTAAAACATCCTTATGGACGTCTAACATTAGAAGTTCATATGGGAATGTTAAATTCATTACTTCTGCAACTGCAATCCCAATGTAGTAAAGGCTCTATGATCCAAGGCAAATAAGACTTTGCAGGTGAATAGTGTGCCCGTATGGGGAACAGAAGAGAAAGTACTTTTGAATCAAGGTGCTATCAAATGTCTTCTACCCAGTGTACGATGGAAGAAAAGGAGTACTTGGAAGCAAGCCAGGTCCTCGCAGAAGGCTGAAGATTACCTATGTCAACTTCACGGCTGTAGAGTTAGGGCTTAAGAACCATGTTACACCCACTTGTAAATCCAGCATGTGAGTATTGAAGTGTGCGGTGCGCTACACATTGTCACATTAGAAAAACTCAGTCCGGAGGCATAAATCACATTCTTGGTTCTGTCATCCAAGCAAACAATATGTATCCTCAGCATAACAGTTACTGCAATAGCTTCTGAAACAGTCTTGCCTACCTTGCCTTCTTTCACTGGCATTTCTTCCTTCACACTAGGTATAATTTTAAATGTAATTGCTCCTTGAGACTGAGCCTGGTGAACATTTGAAAAGAAAATGCACTGAGAATTAAGCTGTACATTTCAAAGAAATCTTAAAAGGAAAAGAAATTCAAATTAATTTAAAAATATTCAAATATAATGAATCTATCCTCTCCCAAGCATGATCCATGGAGTTTGACAGCTTCACCATACCAAACTTTGCACTGCAAAGATTAAAATACCCACTTTAAACTCTCAGTTTTGTTTGCTTCACTGGTGGGCAGAGATGGACTGTTAAAAACTAGGACCTGCATGTTTCAGAGGTCCCACTTCTGCACTAAAAGCAGGAACAAATGCTACAGCTAAAATGTATGCATAGTAGAAGCAACTGCTGGACTCCTGGCACAGTTTGGACATCCCTGGAAAAATCCAACTAACATTTCATTTTTCAAAAAAAAAAAAAAAAGATAGAAAAACTCAAACAGGCTTGTGCCATATTTATCGTATAAAACTATTGGGGGGGGGATTTATTCTTTTGGCAACTTTAAGAAACTAGAAAAGAAAAACATTTTTGAATAGACTACGTGTACTAAATAGGAAAAAAGCCCTCCACTATAAATCTTAAAAGAAGTTAGCCATCATCAACCACCTCATCCATTCATTTTTCCCTATATCCCACTTAAAGTGTGTCTGGCTGCATTTTACTTATTAACCACAATATATTCCCACTGCCTCAGTGACATTTTGCTATTGAAGGAAGTGCTAATCAGCTGGAGCCTCTGCTACTATTGCATGCAGCCGACAAGTTTCATAAAACTAGCAGAGTGCAACAGACAGCCAACGATTTAAGCAAAATGGAAACAGGCCTGTCCACTACCAAGCGAGACATACTTCTGCCGGCATGTCTGTGATCCAAGAGCTCACTGTTTGACAAGCAGCAGCCAAGTTCTTATTTCACCAGCCGTAGGACTGGAATCAATAATTCTGTTACTTTTGAAACAAGCTCTAACTAGCTTTTGATGTTTATATTGTACCTCGAGGAGATAAATGGGGAAATTGTTCACACCTTTTCTAGTGCTATTGTGTTTCTAGATATTTTTAAATATTAATTTTTGCAGGAAAATATGTTTCTGTAGGGAACACAAAACCAGAAAGCAAGTATGAATATCAGTGGGCTAACACTTGAAATGAATCATCTCAGTTATTGAACCGAAACTGTGAGACAGCCACTC